GGTGCAACACCGAGGGTTGCAATCCCGTTGCCGGTCCCAGTCCGGTACGGGTGCGACACTGAGGGTTGAGATCCGTGGCCGGACACGAAAAAAGACAAAAAGGAAAAAAAAAAAATGTAGTGAGTCTTCCTTTAATCCATAGTATTTAATATAGGTTCTCAGGAATTCAACTGTAATTTCCTGAGTGACCTTTTTGCCAATAATCTTACTCAGATAATCTTTATTTATTATACCAATAAATTAAGCAGTAAATAACATTACCATATTTCCTTTCCAAATTTTTCAACCTTAACATACAGGAAGCCTTGGCTCAAGCTTTTTGGATTGACATCAAGCGTATGGATGACCCACAGTGTTACTTTAATTCTCTGCCAAGAGAGTTAGAAGTAAAAAGAGATCAGATGGTACACTTACTTGAAAGTGTTGGCCTAAAACCCATAGTTCCTGATGGGGGATACTTCATCATCGCTGATGTGTCTTTGCTAGGTTTGTAAAGGTTGTTATTATTTCAAGTATATGAAAACTTATGTGTGAAATTGTACCAGAATTATGGAGAAAAGATTGCTGTCAAAGCCATAGCAGCAATTTATCTATGAAAAAAGGTGGATTTTCACAATGTCAATGTATTCTACAATTATCTTTACTTTTAGATGTTTTACTTTAAATGTGACTGTTGTTAAATTGTTATGGAGTCAGTGTTGTTCTATGTATACTATAAAACAGAATTTGCTGTCATCCTGTTCTAGTGTATAATTTAAAGCACAGGCACATGAAATAATATAGGTACCCTGTGTTCATTTGAGTAAAATTTTAATTTTCTTTTCACTTAACAAAAACACATACTGTTTTATTAGAAAAATAAAATGTGATGAAGGTCTAATATGTGCCAAGCTGTCAAATATCCTTCTGCAGAAAGCATTGTTAGCTCCATTTTTGCAGACAAGAAGACACAGAAAGTTTTAAATAACTTGCCTGAAGTCACACAGCTAGATTCTAAATAGTTCTGTCTCCAAAAAACAATGGTCTTTATATTGCCTAAAACTGTTATCTATAATTCTGATATACAAGTCTAAAGTTAGAAACATGATAATATTTTATATATAACTTTTCTTTAAAAGAAACAAAACTATTAATAACAGCAATCTTCAAAGTCTTATTTATTCTGTCTGTCAGAAATTACAGCCATTCTGGTTTTTTTTTTTTTTTTTTTTTTTTNAGCTGTGCCCAGTTTATTCCTACCGAGATGTTCACTCTCTAGGAGAGCCCTGACCAAGATGAGAGTTAAGTTTGGTTGTGTCAGCCAGGTGACAGACAGAGGAGGCAGCCCAGCAAAACACATGAAATAACAGAGCTGTGCATTACTTGCAGATCCCAGAAAGAAGAGGGCAGCACACCTAGCAGGGCCAACAGGACATAGGGAACCATCCTGGATACACACACTCAACCAGCAGAGGAGAAGAAGAGAGAGAGAGAGAGAGTGTGAGGGACCTGAGGGCCAAAGCCTTTATCGGGGTCCAGGGCATTACCAAAGCAGGTTTTCCTTACAGAGTTCTGATTGGTGGGGTTAGAATAAGCAGGCATGAGCTCCGTGGGGCACACTGTCACCGAGAGATGGTCACTGTGGCACATCTGTGCAGTCCGTGCAGGGTGTGAGAATCAATGGACAAGTCAAGTAAGTTGTGTCTAGCTATCCCGTAGGGAGGTGGTCACCAGGAGGCTGCTGGATAAGGCAGATATCTGGGTCGACCACACTGAAGAACTGAGAGGAGGTGGAGAACTGGAAACTGTGTCAAGGGGGACTGAGCCCTCCTTCTGGTATGAGAAAGTTCAACTTGTATTCAAAATGGATGCTGAGGCAGCATAAACCTGTAAGAATTCACTACATGAGGTTTGGCTTAAACTGAGGCAAGCTTCTCTTTCCTTTCAGATTAGCTTATTTCTTCATTTGTTGGGAGAGAAGAGGCTGTGGCAAGCATTGTATTTGGCAGGCTCTCAAGCCCCATTCTTACATAAAACCCTTAAGATCTTCTATATTCTGAGGTTTGGAAGGCACTTTTCCTACCTGGGGTCTAAATGTGCAGCTCATTTCACGAAATGATGAAAAGAAATAGCACTGTCGTCATCACTTATATTTTTGCTTTTGAACTGGAAATCTACAAGATTTTCCACATGAATTATTTTGTTTCTTAAATAAGAAAATGATTTCTACTTTATATGCTTCCAAAAGGAATTTCAGCTTACTCATATTAAAAGTCTTTTGTGGGCCGGCCCGGTGGCGCACTGGATAAGTGCGCCGCTTGGGAAGCGCGGTGGCGCTCCCGCCCGAGGGTTCGGGTCCCACGTACAGACCGGTTCCCGCTCACTGGCTGAGCGAGGCGCGGGGGCAGCGCCGAGGGTTGCAATCCCGTTGCCGGTCCCCGGTCCGGTGCAGGGGCAACACTGAGGGTTGCGATCCGTTGCCGGACACGGAAAAAGATAAAAGACAAAAAAAAAAAAAGTCTTTTGTGCAATAATATATAAATAGAAATGATTGTATATGAATCAAAAATCAATGCCATATAGGAAGGGGAGGAAGCAAATATGTCAGTCACCTAGGTTCATACGGTTTTATAATTATTATTAACTTGAGACTGAACTTTGTGCCAGCAAAGTGACATAGAAAAATGGAATTAGTTACATAATTATTGGAAGAAAGGAAACTTATAAGCTTTTTAGATAAAAACAACTTTTTCCTGGAACCAACCTTTTCCAGATAGTAAATGCTAAAAGGGATTGTCACATTGTGACATTTAAAATGAAAAAGACATTGATGCAAATTGGATGAATGCACTAAGCTCTTAATTAGTTTCCCATTTTCTCCTCGGTCGATTCATCCTGCATGCAATACTAGCTTAGATCTTAGATCTTGAACTAGGGTGGTTATAAAAGGGCACAAAGGATTTTGGTTAGAAAAACTTTTCTGATGAAGGAGAAAAGGATGTCCCTTTTTTATTGTCCTCCTTTACCAATAGGAGAAAATGTTAATGATGTTTATAAAATCCTCCTACATATGAAGAAATTTTCTCTTATTTTACTCTTTCGTCTGCTTCAATTCATCTGCAATGTGGGAATTCTTTCATGTGCTAGAGATTGATCCTATCATTTGCTAAAGATAAACATAGAAAACAAAAACTTTCATTTGATGGTAGTTTGAGAAGAAAAGTAAACCATGACATAAATTGCTTCCCTTTACAATTAATAACAATGGCTAACTGGTTAATATTTATTGAATATTTATGATATAGTAGGTATTATATAAAGAGCTTTACAAATATCACATGCTCACAAAAGCCATATGAGATTTTTGTCATTATAACAAACCTCAATTATATTATAACTTCTAGATTATATTATAACTTCTCTAAGGATAGAGAGAAAGCACAAAATTTACCAAAGTTAATTAACCAATAAGTAGCAGAGCTGGGCTCTGAACCCAGAGATCTGTGTCCTAATCAGTGAACTTATTTGTTTTCTGCTATATAAGGGTATTTTTTAAAGTTCGTTGAAAGATTCATATTATCTTTCAATTCCATTTTTCCATGAACTTTTTGAAGTACCCTCATACTAAGCACCTTTTCAGACCAATGAGCTTCACCCTAGAACTAAAAAAGGGGAAGGAACATTTGAGTAGAAGACAAGACAGCAAATAAGGATATGATTACCGTTTGTTCAGTGAAATAATAGGATCCAAAATTTTGGACAAGATAGTGAGAATGCAAAAACCAATCTGCAGGGCCGGCCGTGTGGCTCACTCGGGAGAGTGTGGTGCTTGTCTCCGAGGCCGCGGGTTCACATCCTATATAGGGATGGCTGGTGCGCTCACTGGCTGAGCTTGGTGCAGACCACATGTGCGAAGTGTTGCAATCCCCTACCGGTCAAAAAAAAAAACAATCTGCATTTTCATAGATTACTTAAATATGCTAATACACTTGGTTTAAACTCTTATCTTCAATAAAGAATAACTTTGTTTAGTTCCTTTGAGAATCTTTAGCTCAGGCATTTCAGAAGAAATAGATTTCAACTTCCTTCTAATTATAAAACCTTTATAATTGTATTTATTTCCTTCTCTCCTTTTTCAGCACCGTGGAATAAAGTCCTTTTTTGTAAGCTTTACAAGAATAAATGAGTAGTACAGTCTCAGTTACAGTTAGTTAATAACCTCCTGCTCTTCCTTCTACTCCCATAGGTAATCACTCCTTTCCCTGGGCTACCTTTGTACCTTGAATACACTGCTATTGTGTACTTGTCACATAGAGTTTTTACATAATTTACAATTAGGCTCTAACTTTTTTAAGCTGCCATTTTTGTTAGGGCCAAACCTGGATTAAACACACACGCACATGTGTCATGAAATAGTAATTTAACTTCCTCATCTGTAAAAGATTGTAACTACCTCTCAGAATTGTGGTGACAACTAAATGAGAGAATCATATAACATGCTCAATGAATACTTAGTGCTCAATACGTGGTAGTATGTTATTAACATTATTATATGGAAATTTTACATTTCCTTAACGTGTAGGGGAGAATGGAGATAAACTCATCGTGTTACAAGATATTAAGGGCTGGCCAGTTAGCTCAGTTGGTTAGAGCGCAGTGTTCTCATACCAAGGTCAAGGGTTCTGATCCCCATATTGGCCAGCTGCCAAAAAAAAAGATATTGAGGCCTTTTGTAAAAACTCCAGGTGATACTTTCTTCATTATCAAGGTTTTTACATGGTTAATTTGAAAAGACCCACAAGTATTTAGTGAATGCAAGAAAGAAGTAAAATATCTGCCTCAATTCATTTTGAGCAATAAAATGTAAAATTTTATTGATTACACTAACCATCAACATTAGTTGCTTTGGGCATGCAAAAAATTCTAAGAGTGCAAGTCAGTAAAACGGAAACAATGTGAAATGTAAATTGTTGAAACTGGATGCCAGAGAAATATCTTGCCTAGCCTTTCAAGTATGATTGAGGCAAGAGGAATACATATTCGAAGTCTCTTCCCCAAATTTAATATACAGAAGCAAGAGATAATATATTAATTAATGAAATATATTAATATATTCACTCAGCAAATAGGCTTCTCATTATTTATGGGCTAGACACTAGCCTAGGAGTTGGGGATGCTATAGGTTGCAAAACAGACACTTTACCCTTATAGAGCTTACAATCTATTTGGAGATATAATTATTATCTATAAATTTAATTGTTATTTTCTTAAAAATGGTGATAGAGCCTTATTTCTATATGGAAAAGCAACATTCCTCTTCCCTTCCCCTTTTCTATCGTCTTCCTGTGCTAAGAGCAGCATGTATAAGTGTGAGCAAACCAGGTGTATGTGTGAGTATTGCCTTAGAATATCAGTAAAGCTCATCTGTGAATTCCTCACTTCACACCCATCATGCGTTATGAGACTCCAGCATATTCTGTGAATATTTAAGAAAATTCTAAACTAAACTATTTTAAATCAAGAGAAAATTTTGAATATTGATAGACTTAAGTGAAATACATGTTATCTCAGATATAATTCATAGGACACCTAATTTTTATTGTGGTTTTAGATGCAGACCTCTCTGACATGGAAAGCAATGAGCCTTATGACTTTAAATTTGTGAGATGGATGACCAAAAATAAGGTAATGTTTATTGGCCTTTGCAACACTGTGTTATATTTTATAGTTAATTTATGAAGAATACCTGCTGACATGCTCTGAAAACAGTAATTGTAGTTTTGTTACATATTATTCCACTTATGGCTCTTTCGGAGATTTTAAACACATTTATCGTTTTGGAAATTGTTGTGAATACATAAGAGTATCAATTTGTTTCTAATGTCTATGTTTCCAAAATGAATATTTGAAGTGTAAGTAGTTTTCTTATTATATACATTTATTTTTTCAGAAACTATCAGCCATCCCTGTTTCAGCATTCTGTAATTCAGAGACTAAATTACAGTTTGAGAAGTTTGTGCGATTTTGCTTCATAAAAGTAAGTTCCCTGTTCTATTCAAAAACACATTTATAATATCCTGACTTCCAACGTATAAAGCACCATTGATTTCTGTGCTAAAAATTATATGCTCGTATGTAGTTTTTAAATTTTGGCTTGCTGCAATGAAAGTAACTGCCTATCAGAACAAAACTCAACCCTCTTTGAAGGGAAACAGCATAATCCAGATGCCTCACCATGTGATATCACAATGTCCAACACACAATAAAAACTTATTAGACATGTGGAAACACAAGAAAATGTGACCCATAATTAAGAAAAAAGTGGTCTATAGAAATGGAACTGAAGGTGACTCAGATGTAGGAATTAGCAGACAAGGACTTCAAAGCAAATATTATAAGTATCTTTAAGAAAGTAAAGGGAATGTGGTCATAAAGAGCAAACAGAGGGACTAAAAATATAGAAAAAAAGAACCAAATGAAAATTCAAGAGCCTAAAAGTATAATATCTGATATGAAATATTTACGGAGCTAAACAGAGGATTTAAGATATCAGAAAAAAAAAGAGTCAACTGGAATACAGATCCATAGAAATTATACTATCTGAAAAAAAGAGAGAAAAATTATTTTGTAAAAATGAACAGAGCCTCAGATCTATGAGAAAATGTCAAGTGATAAGATACATGTCATTGGAATACCAAAAGAGAATGGAATATGACAGAAAAAATATTTTAAGAAATAATGCCCCAAATTTTCCCATATTTGGTGAAAAGCAGTGTGTAGATCTAAAAAGCTGTGAACTACAACAGGATAAATATTTCAAAACCACATCTAGGCACATCATTATTAAACTGCTGAAAACCAAAAGTAAAGATAAGTTCTTGAAAGCAGCCAGAGAAAAACTATACATTGCATACGTAGGAACAAAGATACGAATGTTAACTAACTTCTTATCAGAAACAGTGAAGACTAGAATACAGTGAAATAACATCTTTGAAGCACAGAAGTAAAAAATTTGTCTGCCCAGTATTCTATATCCAGGAAAATATCCTTTAAAAACGAAAATGAAATAGACCTTCCTGACAAATGAAAGCTGAGACAATTCGTCACCATAAGACCTGTACTAGAAAAGATTCTGAATGTGTGATTGCTGTTTTTAAGATGTTATTGCTACTGAAAACAGTCTTACTGAGGTCAAGGCATTCTCTACACCAACTCACATGGTCTATAAACCTAGTCAGAATAATGTAAACACACTGTTTTCATATTTTAGAAATAACATAGACAAACAGTGGCAGACCGTTCAGAACAAAATATAAATGTTAACAATCTAACAATGTAAACATTCAATTGTCTGAAATGTAGAAGAAAGGGTAAGGCTATTAATATTCTCTCTTATAGAGGATCTAGAAATAAAGGTGTAAGTATGATATTTGAAACTATAAACATAACTAGCAGAAGAAAATAACATAAGACTTCCTGTTTTAAAATGGTAAACACAGACCTTCCCTATTCTTTTCTTGGAAATTATTCAAAAACAAGTAGGAGAATGGTAAACTAATTGAAAAACCCCCCAGTGTATGAGGGAGAATTGCCAAATATAGTGAAGATGATAGAAGAATTCCTGCTTCTATATCTTTACATCACAGACAGAGCCAGCAGGTAGTATACCCATTATTGAGAACAGCAGGAACAGTAGATGCACTGGATGCGGGAACTTCTTTGATGGATTTGGCATCATGGAAGAAACAGGGTGGAAACATAACATATAGTCATGTCATCTAGAAACTATGTGAGGCAGGTTGGAAAGGAGATTCAAGTTGGGCTATAGATTTCCTCATTCACCACTATCACTGTTGCTAAAAGTTGGGTTAATGCAATGTGGAGGCAACATATTAAATCGAGAATAGTCAATTTAATTAGTAGGGAAGAAATAAAGTCTAAAAGAACTCCCTCTCTCTGAATCCTACATCAATTGTATTAAACTTTACTGTGAAGTGGGAGAATTTCTGCTTTTTTCTAGTGCTGCCCCAGCTCCTCCCTTATATAAATCTGCAAATACATCTACAAATAATAGACAAAGCCAGCAGGTAGCATTCTCATTACCCAGAATGATACCAATAGTACAAGTGCTGGCAGTGGGAGCTTATGAAGAGGATTCAATCCAAAAATGATTAATAATCAAAAAGGAACCAGCTATGAATCTATAAAAGGACACTATAAATAAAAAAGGAAGATACAAGGAAAAACAAGTGTCAGACAGAGAGTACTCAACAGAAAAATGTTGGCATAGAGCCAATAAAAATTGTGATATTTCAAATATAAAACTTTTAAAATGAGATTAAAGCAGAGATTTAAAAGTTCAGGTAAGATAGGGTAAGCTAATATAAGAAGATGAAATGAGAGCTGTCGAATCTCCAGTAAGAAATCGAAGGGAAAAAATAAAGCTATTGGAAATTATGGTGACATTGAATACACCACAAAGGACACTAAATACTTCTGTAAGCACAGTAAGGATTGAGAAAAGTGAACAGAAGGAAATGGAATAGAACAAAGAATTTTAAAATATTAGAAAAATTATAGATGCAGAACAAAAATGAAATAGGTAGAGTCCCTGAAAAAAATAAAAGCAGAACAATTGGAACCTGGAAAGAATTTTATAGCTTTATTTTCAGAATGCTTCCATTAAAAAAAGAAAGAAAAAAGACACAAATATTATGTTTGAAAGGGAATGTCATGTCTCAGGAAAAATTGACATAGAATGATTAACACTGAGATATACCTTATTTAATATATTAGACTTCAAAGATAAAGAAGTACTCCTTTGGGTATCTAGACAAAAAGATCAAGGCCTCCCTGGGGGCCAGGAAAGGAGGATCAGTGTGGATTCAGAGTCCTTTAAATCAGCATTCAATATTGGAAGGTAGCGTAGCAACAGCTAGAAGTTATTAGGGAAAGTTGACACACCTAACTCAACCTCTTGGAAAGGCTAAAAATAAAAGGATGGCAAAAACATACCAAGAAAATGGAAATCAAAAGAAAACAGATTGAATTCACGGCAAAATCAAAGAAGTAATAAGGCACAAAAAAAAAAAAATAACCACTTAAAAATGTTATGGGTAAAATCTTCAGTAGCAATCAAACTTACAAAAGGATGCTCAACCTCACTCATAATAAGAGAAATGAAAATTAGAACTGCAATGAAATTTTATTTTATCTATTAGATTCGAAACAACCAAAAACAACTAAGATGTTCCCTAAAACACTCTCACATGTTGAGAGTGGAAGTATAATTTGTAAAATCGCTAAAATGGTTAGTTTGAAAATTTTCATCCAAATGTAAATGCACCATACCCTTTGACCTATCAATTGTTCTAGGATTTCCACTGCCCCTGTGGATTTCCTTGCATGTTTTGAATGACTCATATTCAAGGATTTTTACTAATGCATGGTTTGTAATAGGAAAAAATTACAAACAACCAAAATATTCACCAGCACAGGCTGCTTGAATAAATGATCATATAATCACATCAATTAAAGAATGAAGCAGCTCTGCATGTAGTAATAGAGCACAAGCTAAAAGCAAGGAGCAGAACAGTTTCTATGAAACGCTGTTATTTGCTTGAAATGGAGATGCATGGATGGATGGATATTTTTAAGCTCCTGTAATGTCTCTGGAAGGATATATAATAAAATAGCAGTGTAATCTCTGGGGAGGAAATTGAGTGGCTGAGGGAGATAGGTGGGAGGCTGACTCACTTCTTAAAAAAAAATTTGAAATGCTCTCAACATAAAAGTTTCAGGAACTTTTTTTCTGAATCATTTCAGAGTTAGTTGACTTAATTATTGATGATTCCCCTATCACCCCAAGTAGTACCTTATTGTGTCTTCCCCATAAAGTGTCATTAATTGTTCCAATAATGTCCTTTTTGTAACAAACTGATAAATATATCCAGGCCCGAATCGTGTCAGTCAATCAATCCAGACCCAAATCATGCATTGCATTTAGTTGTCATGTCTCCTTCAAGCTAGAATAGTTCCTCAGTTTTCTTTGACTTTCATGATTTGAAACTTTCTGAAATTATCAGCCAACTATTTTGAAGTCCCTCAATTTAAGTTTGACGTCTCCTTGTGATTAGATTCAGGTATGCACCTTGTCAGGAAACCAAAGAAGTGATGCTCTATTCTGCTTGTTGCATCAGGTGGCACATGATTTCAATTTTTCCTATTGCTGGTGATGTTAACTTTAATCACTTGATTAACGTGGTGTCTGCCAGGCTTCTCAACTGTAAAGTTACACTTTTTTCCTTCATAAATATTTTGTCCATCAAGCAATGTATTCATTTTACCTATTCAGTAAAAACTCATAGAGTCCTATTTTATTCGGTGGGCTATAATTTATAATTATTACTACTTAATTTTCCCAGATTTGGCCACTCAGAACTCCTCCTTTACGCTGGCTTCTGTTTCCTTTGACATGGCTCCATCATTTTTGAGCATTTTCTTACGTTCTGGCATAACGAGATGTACTCGGTTCATCTTGTCATTATCTACCCCAATCTGGGATAAGCCATCTCCAATGGATGCTGGTTCCTTTTAGTGGAGAATGGTAATGGCAAAGCACGATCTGGGCATTAGGAGTGCTCACTGCTATTGGTGTGTTGCTGTTCCAAGACCCTCCTAGGGAATAGATGAGGGGTCTTCAAAAAGTTTGTGGAAAGATTCACATCATCTTTTAATTTCATTTTTTCCATGAATGTTTTGAAGTACCTCTGTATGAATATATATACATTTGTAACACACATTTATGTATAAAGCCTGTCTCCCACTGGTATGTGGCCAGTCTCCTATCACTGCCACCGTTCTGCTCCCCAACCCCCACCTCAATCCTGAGTGGATAAAGGCCCTTTACCCCATGCAGGCTTTGACACGTTGTACTTGGCTGCTGCCACTGCCCCCTGTATGGTCACTGTCCTCACCCCACTTGGGTTTCAACACGCCACCTCCTCTGTCACCCACTGCATAGACTTCCTCCTCGCCCCTCTTGGGCTCTGACACCGCTTTCCAGATGCCTTCTTCAGCCCTTCCAGGCTCCAGCACCTGCATGGGGCCACCCCACCATGTGGATGCCTTGCTTACCCCACTCAGACTCTGATACCCTGTTCCAGGTTAGCACCACCACTGCCACCCCTCCACCTCATGCCACCCACATTGGCCACCACACTTCCTCCACTCTGGCTGCAGCATCCTGCACTAGGCTTCCAAGGCTTTCCCAGCCCCCTACTCAAGGACACGTGCTTCACTCAGTCCCACCTATTGGCTTTCTGAGTAAATCATTCTGGTAGAAATGGGAGAGAAAGAAAATGAAGTAGAGAGACAAAAGAGAAGAAGGGAAGGCTGGATTTTCATTGCTTACCCTTCAATTTAATTGAATACCCATATGCATGTATTACCTTTTCAAAAAATAAATGGATTGTTTTTCAGTAATTATATAACTATGAAACTGTGATAGGAACGGGCAGAGTAGTGTGAATGGACTAAATTTTCCTAGTCCAGAGCAATGTATAGTAGATAATGCGTGAAGTTTACAAATATAGAAATAGGAGCATATGCATATTATTTAATGGTGGTAACTGTTAGAACTCAAACCAGAAATTGCCATAAAAGGCTGTCTACGGGGGTGGAAGGATCAGTAGGAAGGCGTGTGGAGTAGACAGCTGTTATTTTTCGATATAACCGCTTCTGTACCCTTTGGCTTGTTTCTGTAATGATAATTAATGTGATTAACTATTTTCCTACTGGGGGTTCTGCCTTTGCATTTTCACTTTGAAAAATTTTCTTCACTTGAGAATAGTCACTTAAATCTTCATTTTGTACTATTGTGGCTTTTTTTTGTGTTTAAATCTTTACTTCATCTTGAATTTATGTTGAAATGTAATGATGATGATTATTTTATTAATTTACAGAAAGACAGCACACTGGATGCTGCTGAAGAAATCATCAAGGCATGGAATAAGCAGAAGTCTTGATACACACAGACTGTGTAATGTTTCTGTTACATGACCTAGTATGGAATTGTTACCTAGTGCTGCCACCTGCTGGATGTTGAAAAACAAATATTTCCATAAAATTGGAATTTAAATATTTGCATTATTTTTCCAAAGAAGTTAACCCTACATAACAATATTCAGGAGATCTGATTTTTTTTTTTCAGTTGAAATGTATTAAAACACCTTCCACTATCATTTTATGAGTCAGCATAGCATAGTGGATAAGAACTGTGAGATGCTTAACCTCTCTGTGCTTCAATTTCCTTATTATAAAAGGGGAATAAAAATAGCACCTGGGCCGGCCCGGTGGCGCACTGTGATAGTGCGCCGCTTGGGAAGCGCGGCGGCGCTCCCACCAAGGGTTCGGATCCCACATACAGACCGGTTCCCGCTCACTGGCTGAGCGAGGTGCGGGAGCAACACCGAGGGTTGCGATCCCGTTGCCGGTCCTGGTCCGGTCCGGGGGCGACACTGAGGGTTGCGATCCGTTGCCGGACACGGAAAAAGACAAAAAAAAAAAAAAATAGCACCTACTTCATAAGATTAAATGGACTAATGTATGTAAAGCTTGGCAAACAATAAGTACCCACCTGATGTTAGCCAGTTTCACCTCTAGCCATGTGTAAAAGCTCCTAACCAGTTACACCCCTCTACCCCGTATCTTTGCTTTGTCTACCTTCCCATAGTTCTCTCCCAATCATTTACCAGTGGCCTGCAACTTTGCTCACATTTTTGCCTCTATCCCAAGAACTGCCATCATTGGAGTGGCTTCAGGTCCACATGGATAACCTAGGCCTTCTTGTACCTTGACCCCTTCATCTTTGGCCATGTTCTCCTCCACTCCACTCCAGCCACCACTCTTGAGCATACCCTGAGGATTTCATTTTTCAGATTTTTCACCTTCAAGATAATAAATTCATCTTCTCACACTATAACCACCTATCCTTCCAGCTCGTGCTGTTTCTCTCTGCTTGTTTCTCTCTCTCTTTCTACCTCTCTCTCTTTCTATCTCTCTCTCTCTGTCTACACCCTGCCTCCCTTCCTCCTTCCCTCTCAACTGCTTGCAAAATATCCCTTCTTTAAACATGCTATAATTTCAAACCCACTATTTCTCAAAAAAATTGTCCATGGCCTTCTTACATCAGAATTTGCTAGGATCCTTGTTGAAAGTAGAGATTCTGGTCTTTACCTCAAACCTACTGAATAATAATTTCAGGATCCAGCCCTTCCCAGGTGATTCTTACACACATTAAATGTTTATCATCACTTCTATAGTCCATAGAACTCTCAATTTTATTCCTGTCAGTCCCCTTATATCTTCACTCCCTTCCTCATGTAGCTTAGATTCTATTGTCTATCACTTCAGCCAAGATACCTTTGCTGCCTTCAATTACTTGCCCCATTGTTCTATCTCACCTACCTGGTCAAAAAAAGAACTCAATTCTGGGGTTGAAGCTCCATGCCTTGCACCTGGGCTGCTGAGCATTGCTGAAGCAAATCGCACGACTGGGCAGGTTCTAACAACTGAACTAACATCATTGACCTGAACTCTAGACATAATACATCTGTGCTCCCGAAATGCTACTTTTTACACAGCAACAAGGTCTAACATTCTCCTATTATCCATAATAGAAATATCCAACTTTCATTCTTCTCACACCTCAAAGTCCACCACCACCAGCACAATTTAATCACAGCAAATGACTTCATCTCCCGCTTCTGTGTGAAAAACAAAACAAAGTGAAAAACAGAAGCTATCAGACTGGCACTTCCAACTGGGATCCCTGCCAATAAGCCTCTGACTTATCTGCATCAGCCCCCACATCCTGTCTTCATTCTCTCCACTTGTAAAAGTCATTCCTTGACCTGTCCAGGATGGACAGGTTGGGTGTGGCAGCCAAGTGGGGTGGGCTGTTGGTTAAAAATGACCAGGCCCAGCCTTACAGAAGGAGGCTCAGGACCCCAAGAGCCAATTATTACTTAGCAATACAAATTCCATGGAAAACTTTTAGCCTGTTTACCCTTGCTGGGAACTTAATAAAATTTAAACAAGCATTTAAACTTGCTCTTTGCAGCCCTGGACATGTCCAATACTAATTTCATCATCTGTGTTTTGGATCTCATTTATTCTCATACTCTCAGAGCATTGGTTCAATGCATTCTCTTGTATCTACAGCCTCTACTCGTTCCCTTCCTCAGAAGTGACACATGTTCAGGTCTCTCCCATCTTAGAAAACCCTTTCCCTGATTCTACTATGCTGTTATCTCTTTCTTCCTCTTTTTTTTTTCCTTTTTGTCTTTTTTACTGACCGGTAACGGGATCGCAGCCCTCGGTGTCGCGCCCGTACCGGGGACGGGCAACGGGATCGCAACCCTCGGTGTTGCGCCCGCACCACGCTCAGCCAGTGAATGGGAACCGGTCTCCACATGGGATCCAAACCCTCGTCGGGAGCACTGCCGCACTCCCAAGCGGCGCACTCTCCAGTGCGCCACCGGGCCAGCCCTCTTTCTTCCTCTTAAGGGAAAAATGTCTTCCTTTTTTCTATCTTTCCTTTCTCGGGAGCACTGCCGCACTCCCAAGCGGCGCACTCTCCAGTGCGCCACAGGGCCAGCCCTCTTTCTTCCTCTTAAGGGAAAAATGTCTTCCTTTTTTCTATCTTTCCTTTCTCCTCCCCTCCTTTCTCCCTCCCTTCCTTTCGTCCCTTTCTTTCCTTCCTTCCTTCCTTCCATCCATCCATCAAGTATTCATTGAACTCTACTATGTGCCAGGCACTCTTCTGGGCATTTAGTATATAGCAGTGAAGAAATGAACAAAGATCCCTGCCTCCAGGGCTTTCCATCTAGCTAGGGGAGGGAAACTATGTCACATACAATGAAATATATTGTATGTAAACTTTTACATGATAATTGTGTGAAGAAAAGTAGAGCAAGATAGAGAAGAATGAAACTTGTCAGGGAAGCAAGTGGAATTTTAAGTAGCATGCTCAGATAAGTCTCAAGGAGGGGACATGGAAGCAGATTTTAAAAAGGTAGGGAGAGAGCCTATGGACATACTGGGGACAACATTTCAGGCAGAAGAAATAGCCAGTGCAATGGCTCTAAGACAGGAGGGTGCCTGGCAAGTTGATGAGTACTAAAAGTTGGGTATTACTGGATGGAATAACCAAGGGGAGAAGTAGGTACTAGATCAGGTATTAGATCAGAGAAGGAACATGGAACCTCAAGGACTGTTACAAGGATGATGATTTAATCCAGAGAATCAGGGAGCCATTCCATTTTTTAATATGTAAAATAATGTTTATTGAACATTGTAATTATTCCAAACTGGAAACAAAGCCATTTTTTAATATGTAAAATAATGTTTATTGAACATTGTAATTATTCCAAACTGGAAACAACCAGAATGTCCATCAACAGTCTAATATTTGGAGGATATATTAGTACAGTGGGATACATACAGCAATGAAAATTAACAAACTACAGCTGCACACAATAACATGAATGAATTTCACCAACTCTGTTTTCATAGGGCTTCCTCACAGTGTCTTCAAAGAATCAGCTGGAGTTCTCAGTTGACAGAGTGTTCTATAGCACTAGAATCCTTGTGGTCACTGGCACTGCGATCATTGAAGCCTAATGTCAGCCCCCACCTCCACGGTTCTAGAATTTCTGTGTACCTACTAGAGTGAGGGTTTCCATGGTTTGGTCCTACAGGCCTAAGACTGGCCCATAGAGAACTCTACATCTGGGTGATTGAAAGGACAGAGGTTGTCATCCCTTCCATTGAGCTGAGCTGAGGTGAGGAGAGCAGACTTGGGGAGGAAGAGGAAATGGATTTTTAAATATGGGGTCTGTAGGCAAATCGTACAGTATTGGATCAGGAAAATTTTTAAAGTTTGACCTAATATCTCTTGGACGTTAGAGGCAAAGGCCCCATCAGAAGCTTCCAGATGCCTAACTAGATATCAAGCCTAACTGGTATAGAATATAACTGCTAAAGTGGGAAACCCAAAGGGGCTGGACAGAGGGGACTGCAGGGACCTGAGACTCATAGAACAACACGATCATCATAGGGTCTGGCTGATAAACCCAGCTCACACCTAGCACCTAGCCTGTTACTGGTTCCCCTGGTGATCACTGTTCTTGCTGCTGCTGCCCAAAGTATTTGGCCCTGCAATTTTTAAATAACACCTGCATTTGCACTCATCCAGGTTGAAGTTTCCAGCCTCTTCCTCCCTCCCTGAACGCTGGGTACTTTATCTTCTGAAATAGTGACCCGGACCTGAGTTTTCTATTAACCTGCCATGGAGAGTACATTTTTTACACTCTCATTCTTGAGGGGACCTCAAGTTCTTGAGCCTTTTGCATCTTTTAAAAGTCTGTACTGAGAATAGACTGTAGGGGGAGCAAAGATTGAGGTATGGAGACCTATCACAATAATCCTGGTAAGCAATCACAGTGGTAGCCGTGGGAGGGTAAGTAATGCTCAGATTCTGGATATTCATTGAAGGTAGAAACAGCAGAGTTTCTAAGGGGCATGAGAGAAAGTGAGGAATGAAAAGTGAGTCCAATTTTTGGCCTGAAGCAACTGAAATGGATACCACCACTGAGGTCAAGAAGGCTCCAGGAGGCACAGGCTTGGGGGAAGAGCAGGAGCCTAGTTTGGCACACAGGTGAGATGCCCGTCCGACTTTCAGGTATACGTGTCGCGTGGGCAGCTGGATAGTCGAGTACAGTGTTTAGAAAAGAGATTCCAGCTGGACATAATGAATTTGAGAGTTTCTGGTATATTGATGATTTTAAAGACATGAGACCAGACTAGATCACCAGATACATGAATATAGACAGCAACAAGAGAACTGGTAACTTCGCTCTGGGCTTTTTGAGAAATTTTACCGCAAACTGGAGTAACTCTTGAAAGAATTTTTCTCATTTGATGATTCCACTTTCACACACACACAGACACACACACACACACACACACCCTTCACTTACCCTCAACCATCTGAGGTCTGGCTTCCACACCCAATATTGTTCTAAATTCTCTAATGACCTCCATATTCCTAGATTTAAAGGAAACTTCTCAGTGTCATCTGACTTCTTAGGACTTACCCCTGCGGACCTCTCTGGCCTTCTTAAACCCTACCTTTCTTGTTCCTGCGATGCTGCCCTCTCGTGAAATGCCTCCCACCTCTCTGGCTGCTCTTCTCAGTCTCCTTCTCCTGTTCCTTAATTATTGGTATTTGGCACTAGACTATGTTCTCTTCTTTCTCACTAAATGGCTTCATTCTCTCTAT